CATGGATGTTGTTCGTGCCCCTGCCACTCTGTGAGGGAATCCTCACAGAGTGGTAGCGGAGCACCTGGTTGTGTTGGATCTTAGGAGCGACTCACGGTGAGTGTTCCATCCGACATCGGGAGTTCTGCTTTGGGATATGTCCGCACCTGACCTTCAAGGAAACCCTGGACTAGACACCCCAGTGACTGAGAGAGTTCAAGCATCACCACCACCGGCTGGCGAGACGAGCGCTAGAGCTGATGATGAAGGTGAGACTTCAGGAGATCCATGGATGCAGTCACATCGAGGTCAAAGAGTTGACTCGTCAGAATTCAGGCAGTTTTTGAATTTTGTTGAAGCACGTTCACGAGGACAATACCCTCCTCGGAACACCTCCAGTAGAGACCGACCAGGCCACCGGTCCTATGCCTCACAGGACTCAGGAGATGATCGGGACGATGGTGAACGGACCAATGCAGGTCCACCCCCAAGTTTTGACGGAACTGGCTTCAAGGACTTCCAGATTCGAGCGAAACTCTGGTTGGCTACGACGAAATCGAAGCCGAGAACTCGTGGCCCCCTTCTCCTCAAAAACATGACCGGTACAGCATTTGACAACTTCAAGCATCTTGCCAAGGACGATAGTTGGTTGTCAAACCCCCTCAACGGTCAACTCCTGCTAGATCAAATGAAATGGATACCCGAGAATACTATGGAGATGACTCTCGAGAAGATATGCTGAACTGTTTGGGGAAGCTGACCTATCAGCTGAAACGAAACAAGGGTGAAGGCCAGAGGGATTTTTGCGCTCGCTGGGAGAACGCAGTCAGAAAGGTCAAGGAACATGGTGTTCAGTTGCCACCGGAATATCTTGGCTTTTTGTTCATCATGGCCCTACAACTGTCTCCGGAGGAAGTGAAGCTTTTGATGAATTTCAGTAAGGGTAGTCTTCATGTCACCGACGTCCGAGAGTGGCTTCGAGTCCATGAGACGGAATTGGACTTCAAGATATCGAATAAAGAGGCCATCAAGACCACCGACAAGAAGGGCATCGACCTAGCTGAACATGTTGATGACAGCTTGGATACTCCTGAAATCGATGAAGCGGACTCTGAGTACGAGGTGCTCATGGCTGCCGCCGAAGAGCTCGGCCTTGACCCAGCGACCTCAGCACCTGATGAGGAGATCTTTGAGGAGTCCGATGCCAGGGAGATCCTTGCCACCATGGTTCGTGACCACGTTCAAGGAAAAGGTCGTGGCAAGTCGGGAGGCAAGAGGACCTTCCAGCAGGCCAGCAGGATGAAGAAAACGAAGGAAGTGTCCCGCGAATACGGACGAGGCCGTAGCGGATTCCTTCCAACAGGTACATACCGCGTTTCAGTGGAAGAACTGAAGCGCAAGACCCGCTGCAGTGTCTGCCACCAGATCGGACACTGGCATCGTGACCGTGAGTGTCCGGGCAAGGCGGGAGCATCCAAAGAAGTTCAACTCCTGGAATCCGATGAAGCCCTTTTCATCCATTTCCTCGAGTATCAGGACTACAAGAATGAACAACAAGCTGAGGTACACCATTTGAGCCGTGATGATGAATGGAATCCACTGCAAGAAGCAGTCAGCCAGTGGCGAGCCGTTCGTGCGGCGCCTCAAGCCACTTCGGATCATGGTGTCACGGCAGATGAACCTGCCTCAGCGTCCGATCGAGTATACAAGGAGCGCAGTCCACCTATTGAAGCTTTTTGGAGTGAGAAGTGTTTTGAACATCTGAGAAGATCTGATATTGATGAGCGTTCATGTGCGACAGTAGACACGGGGTGTCAGAGAGCAGCGATTGGTCTTGAGACATTGTACAAATTGCAATCAGCGCAACCTAAACAGCTTGAGATTTTGATGAAACCAGAACCACATCGTTTTTGCAGTGTACATGGCACATCAACCACACAACGAGTGGCATGCATACCAAATAGTATTGGACCAAACGGCTGCATTTTACGACCAGCAGTATTCGAAGATGAGCACGGAAGCAAGGCCCCATTTTTGTTGTCATTGCCCTTCCTTTTAGAGTGTCGATCCGTCTTGGAATTGGATCCGACAGTTGGATTGTCCGTGTTTCTTCGAAAGTACAACCACAGAATTCCCCTACACCTTGGACCAACGGGAGCCCTACGCATACCACTGCATGAGTTCACTCCGCAAATGTTGCAACACTTGCAAGCTGGATCTCACAAGCTGAAGAACGTGAATGAACACGAGATTCTGAATCTTATGGCTCGAGATTGTGGGACTGGTGCTCAGCAGCAACCGGCCGCAAATTCTGGTGTCATCGAGCCCAAGGATGCACCAGCAACGCCGAGCCATGGAGCAGAAGCGGGACTCGATTCCGCAGTGGCGTCGATTGGCCCTACGACTTCTGCTGATGATCCGCCAAATGATGATCTCCCTGGTCTCCAATCGGCTTCACATGTCAGGACCTCCGGGAATGAGAACTCGTCTGGTGGTCAACGAGCTGGAGAACATGAGCGAGTCCGACCTGGAAGTATCACAAGAACATCTACAGGAAGAACTGGAGCAACGCAGACTGGAGGATTTCTCCCTAGTCAGTGGCGGAAAGGGCAAGAAGACACAGGGCTACATCCCAGAACCGGCAGCTCCAAAAACTCCGGAGCGGCCCAAGGGGGAACCTCCATCTCCGGTGATGTCACCGAGTATGGACAGCAATCAACGACCTCCTCTATGCCATTGTCATCTGACGACCACACTCCAGATCTCCAGGAAGGAGGGGTACCACTTTCATCGGCAGTTCTGGACATGCCCACGCTGGGAAACCACCAAGTCTTGCGGCTTCTTCATGTGGACCAAGGACCAACCATTTTGGAGTCCCAGTCCGAACAAGAAGGGAGTCATTCCCTTGCTACCCACGGCCGATCCGCAGACAGCCAAGTATCCCATGCAAATGGATCCAAAGATCTGTCCTCACTACAACGTGACCAAGGCCGGCAGCAATGGATGGATCGAGCAAACTCGTTGCATCGACTGTCAAACCATCCTGGAGCGCAAACAGCGCACCAAGCCGGCGTCAGCTGCCAGCTCACACCAGGACAGTGCGATTCCTGGGGATCAACAAGCATGGGAAGAATTTCAAGAGTTCAAGCAGTTCTGCCAGATGCAGCGCCGCCGCCGCTGAATCCAGAAGTGAGAGCATTGAATCCAACTCATTTGCACAGGATGTGCGCTAGTTTGGAATCAGCTGAAATCATGTGGCAACAAATGTTACAGATCTTTGACGACCCGACCAAACATGTTGGTGAAGAGTTGTTTTTGACAATGGTTGCAAAAGACTTGAAACCAACGAAAAGGAACCTCCGCAATGCAGAACAATTGTTTCGGGTTGACAAGTCGAATTTGAGAATGATCTCAGAGGTCTTCAACCCCGACCGGTTTGGACCCGCGACACAAAAGTTTGGACTTCAGCAAGGCCAGATATTTGATCTGACTCTTGGAGATGATCTTCTTTCTAAGCAGTC